ATAAATAGGAACACCACAGGTGTTCTGCTGAGCACAGGCCACCATGAACAACAATTTATATTGTGCAAAGCATAGTTGGAAATATTGGTAATAGAAACTGTGGTACACGAGGTTAACAACACACCAAGCGGGTAAGACTTAAAGCTCTTAATAATGACCAAAAAAAAAGTCTTTTATAAAAAACCTTAACAAAACAAGCTTTGAAATTCATCAGCAGTGCTTTTCAATGGACGAGGTTTCCAAAGGTGCCATGGAGACACTTCAGTCTCACCGAGCTTCAATGGCAGGTGGACACAGTTCCCTGAGAAGTTTTGAAGCATCGTGTGAATTTCTCCACATCTCAGTTTCGAAGGGTTTCGAGGGCAGGAGCGTGTCAGCATTCGGCTTAGAGTAATGCTACGTGCAGACTAATGCTGGAAATACTCAGCGAAGGGGGTCCAGGTGTCACACCACATCTCAGCAATGGGCGAGGAGCCACGTGCTGACCTGAGCGAGGCTGCAGCCCTTTGCAGCCCCGCAGGTTTGTCCCCAAGCCCCTTCCTCAGTATTTTTATCATCCATATTTCAGTTGGTCCTGGGGAGGGGCCGCGGCCATCTCGCGTGGTTGAGGTGATCCTACAGGTGTGGAGGCTGCGATGTGGTTATGACTTGGGGACACATTTCCCTGCACACCTCACACACCTTGCCAGTGGTCCCAGGCTGCCAGGAGCATGGGAGCTGCGTGGGGGCTCTGCGGAGGCTTGCCCACAGCCTGCCCTGCGTCTGGCGCCAGGGGAGCACAGCGTCTAAGTAAAGAAAGGCTGTCTGCCCTGGGATGCCTCCCAGCTCAACGCTGGCATTTCCATGATTGACAAACAGGCAAAAATATATTTATTCAAGGATTATCTATATTGAAAACTGGACGCAGGATTTTGTCTCTGTAAACAGTGCAGTAATATCTGCTGTTTGAACAAAAGGAAGGGTATACTTTCCTTCCATTTAAAGCACCAAAAGCTCCCATATTTAAGTCAAAAGGGGAAACATTTGGTTTTATTGATCCCGCTTGCTGAAGATTTGGGGTTTTTTAAATAAGATCTGTGACTAAGGGAGCAGTGGGTTGATTTTCACTTTATTGGAAGGGTTATTACAAAGTGCACAGCATAGAAGTTATTAGAGATGCATGCTCTCGAAAACAGCCCTTAAAATCTTGCACAATTAGGAAAATTCAGAATGATCCAGCATATTTCCTCATAGCGAGAAAAGTCACTTTGATATATTGAGGACCCAAAATGTAACACTGCATTGCTCTGAATAATAATTTTATTTTGAAAAGCTACATTTGAAGAGAGCGCTTTGTTACAGATGGGAACACAGCTACTTTCATGGACTTAAATTAGGCTACAGAGAAATAGCTCCTTCAGAAATGAACACCCTTATTGATAGTTTCACTGTTGCTCAGACAGGTCTCTCCCTATCCTCCACCTACAAATAATCCCATAGATGTTGAGATATCAAAGGACTGAGTCAGTACATTAGCCACGTGTGTTGGTCAAGGGATGAACAACACACAGGATAAAAGACCTTCCCCCAAATATTTGTCAGTTAAATCTATTGTTTATGCAAAATACTGAACTGGCTGCCCTCCAAGGTAGGTCTTTTTATCCACAGAGCAGAAGCAGAATGAGTAAATGAAAATTTCCCCCATCATTGATGTGCTTTTACTGTGCTCTGAAGGACAAGAGCAGCAGCACAAGGGTCTCATTCTGGCTAGCTCAGCACAGGACCCCTCTTTTCCTAGGACTTAGTGGGACTCATGCATCTGCTCGGGTCTGCTTTCCAGAATGAGACAACTGGCCAAACACTTTGCCAAACCTGGACTAGACTTGAAAGCAAAGTTCCTTCCCTGTTTTTTCGTCCCTCTTCTCTGAATGGATGCTGCCAAAACAGTGCTGTGTCAAACTGGGAAGTGGCCAGTGTACAGGTGGCAGTGCCATCACCCTCATCCCATTTCACCACCACCACGGTGGACACCAGCCTTGGCATTGCTCAAGGAGACCCTGCAGACAGTCCCCACTGAATATTGCCTTCTTGGTGTCAGCACCTTTTCTGATTTCTCTGTCCTTCCTACCATAGGATGCTGTCTGGTTCTGGGACAGTCTCTTTTTACACCACCTTCTACCCGTCAGGCACGGCTTGCTCTCACACCCTGTATTCTTTGTTATGTTTCTTCTCCCTTGTTTTTTTTGGTCTGGCCTCTTCGACCAATTTGTCTTGTAGCTACTTATACCTTGAAGTCAAAACACACCGTGGCTGATACACAAGTTTCATTGCCCCCTACACCTACCTGGGTCTTCTTTCGGGATGGGAAAACAGGGTTGTCTCAAGGAACAACTATTGTATCCAGAAGCCGTGGACTGTAGCTCTGCCTCCGAATAATAGAGCAGACTTCAGCAAATCATACTGCCTTTCTCCCTTGATTCCCCAGGGTGTATAAAAATGGGGTTTTACCTCTCAGCAGCACCTCTCATAATAAATTGTGAGAATTTATTAATGTTTATGAAATGCTTTTAATACATAAAGGATGACCTGATCATGCCTATACTTTAATTTCCAATAATGTAATTCCATTGACATCCGAATCCTTTTTTACACTAGGATGAACATGTTTCGAATGAGGCAGAGAAATATATCTAAAGAAAAGGCAGGTTCCTTGCAAAGAATTTAAATTAAATAATAATTATTACCTTGTAATTTATGATCTGAACACAATCCCCTATTTTGGTAAATAAAGCTCAGATGATTTCTTGTGATGTGCATATTGCTAAAATTCAAATATTGTTGAACATATGTTGTTTTTCTGTTTAGCTGCTTTTTTCTCTCCTTCAATTAAATACACAAGGGTTTTTTTAAGGAAATGTCAAATGTTGAAAACAACACTGATATCTTACAAGTTTCCATCTGGACAAAGATGTCACTGTCTAATTTTTTTACTTGCCTTAGAAGCTGGTCAGAGGCATAGTACTGTCAGCTGAACTCAATTCTATTTCTTAAGCCTGCATTATTAATTTTGCATCATGATAAGATATTTACTCAAAAAGGCAGCTAGTTCTTTCCTTTGAAAGTGATGTTATTTGCAGGAATGACCACACTTTTTTTTTCCCCAAATGAAGTTATGCAAATCTGATCTACTAAAGTAAATGTTTCATAAAACCAATGACTGTTTAAATTGTGGGACTAAATTGTTTGTATATAAATATTACCTTTTATATTCCATTTGAGTTTTATGTAGATGAACACATTACTTTAATGACCTGCATTTACAGAGGGAGACAGGGAGAGTCTGACTCCGAAATCCTCAGCAGCCAGATGGCTGCCTTTTCTTGCATGAGATTAAAAGATGTTTCTCATTCACAGCCCTGCTTCGGAGGCAAATTAATATAGCCAGCTAAATTGCTTGTGTTTTTGGAATAAAATTTAAAGAGAACTTTTTAAAGCAATTGGTGTCACAGGTTCCTAGAGCAGATTGCTCTCCAGGTACAGCATGCTGGTTTTAAACATTCAGTAATTAATGGAAAGTATTCTGTGTTAATTGACTGCTTCAGGAAAGGGAAATGTAATGACTCCTTATTAATCATGAAAAGAGACATACAGCATGGAGGCACTGCAATAATTGCACTAACGGTTGAGAAATGTTAATTAATGAAAAGAACAATGATGTAAGAAATTAGCTACATAATGCTTGCTGCTGATGGAGGTTGTGCTTTAAACACATTATTTAGCATGGCAGCCACTGGATGTTGCCTTAAATAGCAGGCACCTCTTACCCTTTCCTTCAGTCAGCTACGGAGTTCCAAATGTTGCCGGTGTTTTGGTTTTTAATGAGCCAAAAGACACTCTCCAAAACTACATTTTCTGAAGTGTTTTCAGTTTGAACTCCTGAACTCAAAACTATTCAAACAGATTGACAGCATTCGACTTATATAAAAATATTATCAAGTGTAAGAAAGCATGTTAGTGTTTGTGTGGTGGGGAAGAACTTCTTGTTAGATGGGCTGAGCTAAATAGGTTTGCCAAGAAGATAGCTGCATCATTACTTCTTTCCCCTTTTTAATTTTTCCACTTTTTAATGAATTACCTGTCCCCTGAAGAATTTAGAGTGAGCATCCTGCCATATTTGTGCCTAGCGTGATGTAAAAATTCATTGAATATGAAAATGCAGAACAGGTCTGGCAACTAATCCAACAGCAGTAGTATGGAGTTCACAGTCATTAACAGATTGAAGGCCCCAAGGTTTCCACCATCACTCTATTGCACCTTTAAGACAGCAATAGGGTGAGACATATCGATCGCTCTGAACACTTTAGAGTAGGTCAAACTATTGGTTACAAATAAATTGCCTAAAAGTGTAAGTCTTCGGGACCAGGATTTGATTCTTATGGATGTCTTCATACCTGCATGATCATTTGTGCAAGGAAATATCAGCCTGTGAGGCTTTCAAAAATTATTGACAACAATTTTGTGGGAATTTTGGCCACCCGATTCATGTGTTACCTTGGCTGCATAGCTAGGGGATGGTAGTAACGTACGACAAAGGGTAAATAAAGGTAGAATAACAAAAGCACTCATTTTAGCTCTACCATTGCAAGCGTAAAATTATAGATACAGAAAAAAATTTGAATTCTGCTAAAGACATGCTAAATGAACGTTCATCAAACACAAAATGCTTTTATGAAGAATAGCTCTCAACAGGAGGCCTCTGTTTGCAATAACGCAAGACAGAAATACGTCCCTTAAGTCAGTGGCGTCACAGAAATCTAAAACCATCGTAGAGGGGGAGTCAGTCCACAGGTATATAATAATCCAACAGTGCAGTGCTTCATGCATCATAGGACAGGGACAGGAATAGTTTCTTCTCTCATCTCTCCAACCCACGTGCTGGCCTTTGTTGATTTTCCCAGGGCAGCTCTCCTGTGGCCATTCCTCCACCCATGTGTTTTATTGCTCCTGAATTTCTTTTCCAGATGGAACATCCTTGGGCTCCAAGGGGCTCTCCTCAGCTCCTTCATCGAACCCATGTACTTACACAGCATCATTGTGGGAAGCCTCTATCACACTGGTCACCTTTCCCGGGTAATGAGCCATAGAATAGAAGACATTGGTCAGCTGCCAGCTTCATACCGGCGCAATCAGCTGCTTCTCAGTGGTAAGCAAACACCTGCCTGCAAGACAAATGATCCCCTCTCCCATCACTAATTGTGCTGGTCACCAGCAGGAAAGTTTACTTGTAAGTAAAACATTAGCTCATGCCTTCTTTTTTTCCTGCAGAGTATGAATTTGTAGAATGAAGAAACTGATGCATTTAAATCCAGTTCCTTTTTCATATGCAGTGACCACAAAAAAGTGGATATAAGCTGACTAGGAAAACAAACACTGTACAAATGATGCTCAAAGTGGAAAAAAGTGTATGACTAAGTAAAAGATTTCTAAAAATCAGGGAGGAAATTTTCAGTAAATTTTAGGTTTAACTCTTTCCGGTCCCAGTCTCCCTCACCCAGTGAACACATGAATGCGGGGAGTCAGGAGAACCAGCCCTCGCATCTCTGGCTCCGTGCATGCAGCCCCACCACCAGTGCCCCTTACTTGGAGCCCCTGCTCCTTCACCACTTGCTAGCCATCACGTTTGGAGCAGATGGCCATAAGGAAAGGGCTGTTGATTCATGCCTGAGACCCTGCCTGCTCAGCAGACCTCAGGGAGGCATTGCTGCTGTCCAGGGAGGCATTGTTGATGTCCGATGAGGCTGCTGCCTGTCATATGAGCATCTCCATGGTTTCCAGCTGTCTTTTGGGCTACTCTCACTGCCACAACTTCTCCTTCCCAGCCCCTGTCCCTAGCCCAGGTCTCTGGTCCTTTCTTCTCCATCCCCCTGACTCCCACTTCCTTAACCCCCAGCCAGGCAGCAGCTGTCCAGCCTCATCCCAGCAAAATCCCACAAAGTCTTGAGTGCCTTCAGATCCTCATGAGGCATGTGAGTGCTAAGGGCCACCAGTTCTGCACAGGATTAGACCCTTATTTTACTCTTAGACTCTGATAATTGTTCTTCAGGAGGATTCCCTAAGAACCAATACGATGTCAGGGTTACAGAGTTGGGAGGTCAGGATGCTTTAGTGGAGTACACCATTGCCTTTCAAAGTCCTCTAGGTTCCTCAGTCAGGAGAGTGCTGTTTTATCCCTTATCTATTTCATGGTCTTTTTTTTTCTTTTTTAAAGTGTCCTTGTGACAAAATTAGTTTGGCTGAGGCAGAAGTGATAGTTTAGCCACTGGGGAAATTCTCAGGTTCTGTGTGGTTTAGTACATCTGGCAAGCGTAATGTGCATGTACGTGTTATGAGGTGAGTAGGTCAAAAGGCTTATCCTTATTTGAACAGCTTATCTCCATTTTTTAACTCTTCAGTGCAGCTAGCCAAAGACTGTGCAATGCAAGTATGCAGGAAACTGCTCCACACTCCTCCTCCACCCTATGTCCCCTCCTGTCGCTCTTGCCCTGGTCCAGCATGGGCATAACTCAGGCCCCTCTTCCTTCCCATGCCACATCATGGGATGGAGGAGAGGACTCGCAGCTGGTCAGGAAAAACCTTCCCATTTCCCGAACCTGGCTGTTATTTTGGCAACACCCCCCCCCGTCTGCCAGAAGCCTCTGCATCTCCCGCTGGGGAAGTTGATCTCATCTTGTGCCAGCCCTAACTCATTATAAGTCCACCCATACATTAAGATCAAAATCACACCCACTTTCACTGTGTCTGCAGGACATACAGGGAAACCCACTTGAACTATTGAAGGACTGAAAACACAATAAGTAATTTAATAAGAGATTTAACCACAGAACAGCTATTGCTTTGCTGGGTTGGCCTTGCGGAGTAAAAGTAATGGCTCATACTTGGCCCAAGTGTGTATTTATGTCCAAGAGTCACTGCCAGAGACTTCAAGGGAGTTAGAAATGCATCAGAGGGGCCCTTGTGTCACTTTAAATATCTGCATGTTTCATGGCTGGCTTCCTCCTTCCCAGAAACTTCTGTTTGGAAAAGCTTTCACTTTGCTTTCGGTTGTGTTTGTGGGTTTTCTTCAGCCCAGGAGAAGCAGTGGGAGGAATCTGTCTTTCTGTGTCTACACTGTTTTTGTCTCCAAAGCCATTATTTGTAATCTTCCCTCCCTACAAATCCCAGGGAGCCAATATTGCTTAAAACTTACATTGCTGAGGCTTGTGCTGCATTTCTCTTACCTGGAAAACTGTGCCGACAGCATATCCAATGACTAAGGAGATGGGCACCTAGCAAAAGCCATACTGAATGCATTACAGACCAAACCTCAGCAATCTCAGCCAGGCAACTCCACCTCCCACGCTCGTCTCGGAGATCAGGCCAGCCAGGGATTTCAAATTGCAGGAGTCCTTCAATTATAAGGTTGCCAATTATTTTGTCACTTGATCATAGCAGTACAAACATTTCAATGGAGAGGAGAGTCACGGTGTGTAATGAGATATCCTGAGATAACTCCTTGGCTCCACAGAAAAATAATCAGTCAGGTTTTCCACTCACACCAGTCCCAGCCAGATGGAAATCCACTCATTCACTGGGATTACTTCTGGGTGTATTTTTTAGAAGAAAGAAAAGCCCTGTGTCATTTTTATTTTCTGTTCTTTTAAGATTGAGGCCGTTCTAAAGGGTATCCTGAAGAGGCATGAGGTTTTGCTAGGAAAGAGAGGAGAATGAGAACAGATTTCAGTTCATATCCCACAATACTCAAGTTCATATTATTTGTACAAAGACTTTTCCTTCCAGTTTCTATGATCTCCTATTTTAGTCTTTTTTGTGTTGGATTTAAGGAGGATGTTTTACATAAAGGAGAGAAAATGATCTAGATTATTTGGGTGTTACCTTTCAAATAAAATCAGAACAATTTGAAAAACAAAAAGGAAAACAAGAAAAAAGTGTTTAAAAAGATCAAAAACAACAATCAGAGAATATATCTAGGCTCTATATTTGCATCTGTCATGAGTCTCATGGTTTTTTCTTTAAAGCCTATTCTCTTGCTTTTGGAAAATGATGTGAAAATATCTTCTACTTACTAAATACATGTACTTATATATGACAGTTGGGAAGAGAAAGCATGAAAGCTAAACCAGCACAGAGGTTTTTCCAGACACTGGGGCAAGCTCCCGGCTTTCACAGTAGTCCACCGAGAGCAGAGGCATGTCCCAGGCTGAGCAGGGGTGTACAGCCCCCATCTGATGGGCACCCACAGCCTGCTCTGTCCTCCATGCAACCTTTTCTTCTTTTCCTCTGGTCAGTGTTTTCACAACATTTTTATTTATTTAGTGGCCTGTGGCAACTTTGCACAACAGGGTGTTTGCTATTGTGCTTTTGGCACTCAAGTCCTCTAAGCTTTTGGGTGCTATCTCGACAGAGAATGGTGCATGGTGTCAAACAGCTTATTTTGATCTGTTTGCATCTTGTTCTGTACAGAGGCGTTTGAATAGCGCCAGAGAGCTATCTGATTTTCAAGCGCTCAGTTTATATCCTGTTGCCTATGTGAACTGGAGTTTTAGATGCAGACTGATCTGTTATCTCAGGGGGGAAAAAAATTGAAAGAGGTATTAATATGACATGAATGTGTTTACAAATCCTGGGTGAGGTTATGACTTAGCGGTAATTCTTTTCTACACACAGTAGCGAGTCAGTCCCAGTGACTGAGATGATTTCTGCAATTCCAGCTTTGCCACAGATACAAAGTGGTTGTGCCATATAATTTTTTCCCTTCAATGGCCACCTTTCTCTCTCTGTGTGTGCTCAGTCCCATCTGGCTCTTGTGGCTCCCTCCCAGGGCAGAGGGGACCACACTGGAAGGAGCAGAGGGAGCATGTCCCTCACCAACATTGCTTCCCATGATGCTGAGAGGCCCCAGGCAGGAGGCTGGAGCTGGCTGCAGAGGCAGCATCTCTGCCATGGATGACCCTGCATAGCCTTCCATCTCTCCCTGGTCTCACTCAGGGGCCTACCAAGCTCAGCATGTTTAAATGCAGCAATGGATGCCGGGTTCCCACCAGCCCCCATCTCCTCCTGTTCTGCCTGAGATCAGCAGATGCTTATGACGTGCAAGAAGGAACACTTTGGAAAGGACGGGCTTTGATCTCTCTTCTTTAATCTTCTCCTCTCTGAACAGCCCGTATCAGTACTTCTCCCTCTCTGCAGAAGTTCTTTGAAACCCTTCAGTGAAAAACGCAAAGGACCGTTCTCTGTTGCCGTCCACCCAGGAGCAATGAAAGCGGGTCCCCATCAAGCTGTGCAAACCACGAGCTGTTGCTGGAGCTGCTGCATGCAGGGGTTCCGGTGGCAGCTGCCATTTGGAAACAGAGATCCAGCCCTGGCACTGGCCTGTGCCGAGGCAGCCGTGCCAAGAAGCCCCAGCCCCACCACCAGCATGGTCCCCACCTGCCTGCTCACCACAGTGGTTTTTGTTGTCCAGGTTTGCAGGCTAGTGGCCACACAGCAAATTAGTAGAGAGGAACTCAACAGCTGGATCCAGACACATCATCCAATGCCCATGTTTTCCAAAATATTCAAACTGCTTCAGGTCACTCTGTCTTTTCCAGCCTTGGAAGCTCCCAGTGTTCATTCTTTGCTCCCAAAAGTACTGATGAGCAGGGCAAGGCAGAGCTCACTTGGTTACATTTATCCTGTTCTGGAAAATAAACCAAACAATTTCTTTATTCCTCTTATTTCTTTGCAAAGACCCTTCCCTGGTTTCAGGTACAAGAAATAAGAAAGCAACAGGAGTCATGAAAAGGTTGAACTACACTAAATGGTTAAAAAGAGACAGGAATTTACCTGATTAAAAATAACTCTTTCCAATGTAAACACCCATACCTGACCTTGAAGCCCTGATCTGCATTTAGAGCCAAGGGAGGTCTCACCCATAGAATCATAGAATCATAGAATCACAGAATAGTTTGGGTTGGAAGGGACCTCTAAAGGTCATCTAATCCAAGCCCTCTGCCGTGGGCAGGGACATCTTCAACTACATCAGGTTGCTCAGAGCCCCGTCCAACCTGACCTGGAATGTTTCCAGGGATGGGGTATCCACCACCTCTCCGGGAAACCTGTGCCAGTGCTTCACCACCCTCAGCGTAAAAAATTTCTTCCTTTTATCTAGTCTAAATCTACCCTCCTTTAGTTTAAAGCCATTCCCCCTTGTCCTGTTGCAACAGGCCCTGCTAAAAAGTCTGCCCCCATTTTTTTTAGAAGCCCCCTTTAAGTACTGCTAGGCTGCAAGAAGGTCTCCCTGAAGCCTTCTCTTCTCTAGGCTGAACAACCCCAACTCAGCCTTTCTTCATAGGAGAGGTGTTCCATCCCTCTGATCATTTTTGTGACCCTCCTCTGGACCCGCTCCAACAGGTCCATGTCTTTCCATGTAGGCAGTGGACTCCAGTATGCGATTCAGATGTCCAAAACTGCCCATGTGAATGACACAAATGTCATGCAGTCACACCAGATGACCAAAAACATCTTCATTGTAGCCGTCTAAAATTAAATAAGATGCATTCCACTTAAAGATATCCAAAATATTGTCATTAGGACACTAACTAGCTCTTGAAGAGACTGTTGCACCCGTACAGGGTAGGAATCTTGCAGGCAGACACAAGGTGGGGAGCAAGAGTTTTCTGTGTAGTTCTGTGATGTCCACAAGACCATTATTAACTTGGATCTAATAAGCTCTCTGTAATGATGAAATCTGTGTTTTGTATTTTCTTATCCCCCATTTGTACCCCCTACAATCCAGAGTTCCTGTCACAGCAAAGGCCCCCACAGTTAATAACAGATAAATATGCTGGACCATGGAAAGCTCACCTGGAGGAACTCATGGCAAAAGCACTTTGCTGCTCAGTTCCTTTTAAAGACCAGTTATCCCATTAAAGCCCTTCTGAAAGATTTCACTCAGCAACCATAACACTGCTGTCAAGACCACACGCTACAATCTAATGGCTTTCCTTAGGCTACAAAAAGTTTGCCTGCAAGGTGGAAAAAGATCTACAGGAATTGCTAAATTATTCTCTCTAAGGTACTCGGACTGGCAACATTTAACTGATGGTGACAACAGCATGTGCAGTGCACAATATCAGTGTGTTCACTCAAGGAGGTCTCATGTGCCACAAGGACCCACCACATGTTAGCAGCCTCTGAAGGTTTTGAGCACTGGATGTTACTGGTGTCCTTCTCTCCTGCCAGGAGTTAGCCACGCTGATGCTCGGCAGCCCGGAAAATCTCCCAGCTTCAGTGTGAACTGGATTGTGGGGAACACCGACCTGGAGGTTATCAACGCCACGACAGGGAAGAGGACCTGCGGGAGTCCCTCACGGCTCTGCAAGCACATGTTCTTCACTCGGTGGGCAAAGCTTCATGGCAAGGTAGGTCTGATGCACTGACAGGACACTGCTACCAGCCCTAGGTGGGCTAGTCCTTACCCCAGAGTCAACCCTGTTTTAGCAATCTCATGATGAAGCTGCAGCCTCCACAAGTGTCCTGTGTCCCTTCTGGTAGGGCCTGGGAGATGATCAGGAGCCGAGAGCCTGTGGGGTCAGCTATGGGAGCTTAGAGTCCAGAGAAAGCCAAGGGCAGAAACCCAGGCGGGTTTGGAGGGGAGACGGGTGTTCTGGCTGTCCTTGGTGATGGAGCCATGCTCGGATGAGCAGTCAAAAGCCAAGAGAGAGTTGAGTGTCCATACAAGCACAACTGGGTAATTTTTTATGCATCTCACCCCAAGTATCCATTTGACTCTAAGGGAAGTATCAACTCACTAAGTCTTAGAGGCCTGAGGGAAGTACTTCTTACAGCCTTGGAGGCATCTAACTCACTTCATTGTTCCATAGGGGTTTAGAGTGCCAACATAAACCGCTCCCAATCTCATACAAGTTAGCTGACTAAAGCAGGTGCTATGGATTGTCCACTCCCCTTCTCTTCCTCACTCTCCCAGATATGTTGATAAATCCATACAACGATACAGCTGCTCCTCACAGGGCGAGTGGCCAGGTGCTGAAGGCTCTTCAATTTCATTACACTCAGCAGCAGTACAATTTAATGGCATTAAAATTACAGGTTGTATTTAATTAAAATGGCCACCACCCCTTGACAGCTCTTCTCTCTCTAGGGAAAATGGCCATGGCCTCCCCTTATTTGAAATGGCACTGAAGTCAACCTGCCTTTGTGCTTCACTTTACTTGGTGAAGTACTTTTGATGGCCAAAAACTACAGAGTGGAACCTAGGGATGTAGGACATACAGGAAGAAGCTTGGTGTGGAATAAGGAAATTTTCCTCCCATTATTCCTGGTTCTGGAGTCACCATTTCTCCTCTTGTCTGACCCTTCAAGGAGGTGCTGGGTGACAGAAGGACACAGATACCAAGGTGGTGAGCCTGACCCCACCACTTCCAGGAGGAGCAGCAGGGAAGATGCAAAGTGTCTTTTCAGCCCACCTACTTTCACTGCTAGAATATTAATTTGCTATAAGGAGTCTTGTCAAGAATTGTCCTGCAGTCCGTGTAGAGTGGGAGAAGACAAGGACAAGAAAAATTATTTTCTTAAGTGCCAAAACCTTTTTACTATTGGGAAATGAGTGGAAAAGAACAAGGCAGAGTGATGGCAGGGAAGTCTGGAGCCACTTCCACCAAATAAGTCATTCAGGAAGGCAAAGGGACAGGCAAGTGGGGAGGTATGAGGACAAGCCCAAAGGCATTGTTCTGCTCTGCAGGAGACCCC